CCCTAATATTTGTAGACATACTCTTTTTCCCAACAAATACATACACACTTGCAGATTTGACATTTAATTTTGCATTACAATTCGCACTTTTTTGCGTGCTTGAAAAAAAATCACTAAAATAATCAAGACTATACCCTTGGTATTTAGAAAAACAATTCGTGAATGTTTTTCATGTTATTTGACTAGATATATACATTTGATGTATGTTTTTCAAAATGGAACTGTTTTTGTCAAAGCTCTCAAGATTTGACAAGAATATTCTGGCTAGCTTCGATTTTACTTTACTTCTGAAGACAAACAATAGAAAGGCTTCAAACATGAATTTCCAATCAAAATTACTGAATCTAGAACGTCATTATGGCTTCTTTACAGATATATTCTACCTATAAGTTTAATTTGATTCTGGATAAGAGGAAATTGTTTTTTGTTTGTTTTTTAGTTTTTGAAGCGATATAATATTTTTCATCCAGTGAATCTTTTATACAACAATGAAATAGAATGCTTGATAGTGAAATTTTTAGAAAGTAAAATGGATTAAACTGAAAAATGATCCCTATTATCATATTAAGTGAATTTATTTTCTTCGTATAGTTAGTACTTTCAGATAAAACAACTTTTGTGTAGGTTAAATCTGTAATCTTTCAACATCTAATTCATCTTTTAGGTGATAGAAGAAGATAAATATTTAGAGGTAATTAATTTTAGTGATATAACTTAGTGTTAAAATATCTTTACAATAGTTGATGTTTTAATGTCACACTGTCTTTGTATAGGTAGTACTTTTAGATATTAATATAACACAACTATCACGAAGATTATGGCTGGTAAACTTTTTGAGCTAATCGATCTTTTATGTTATACAAGAGGATAAGTATTTAGAGGTAATTTTAGTAAAATAACTTTACATTAGTTGTGTATTATTTTCTTATGTTATTTATTCACATAGTGATTCTATCTTTGTATAAGGATTTCATGATTATGCGTAATTGATACTACTAACTTAGCCTTGTGCGTCACTCCGTCATACAAGTTGTTTAACATATGAACTGATGATCCAATAAATTATTTGATTCATTATTCAGTATCGAATTATACTACTTATAGGGAATTCTACCTACTATCAGTATATTTGGAGAACTTTTTATGACGTCATTTCATTCCAGCCAGGAGGGCTGGCGGGCCAACAGAGGGTTACGCCCTCTCAGTGGCCAAGAGATGTAGAAGTACACAGTGGAAAGAAGCAACGAGAGATGAGTAAGTGAGACTAGGTACTGAGATGGCCTAATGCACACTATTAGAAAACGTAATAGATAGATAGATAGATGTGTGATGGAAGATCAGGCATCAGAGTTACATTGTAGTTGGGATGATCAGGTGGCAAAGATATAAGGTAGAGGTTCAGGAGATGATCCGTCGGAAGGGTCGGACAAAAGCTTGGTAGGAATATAAAAGGAGTTGGAGATTCAAACCCCAGGATGAACCACTGAGATGGCAAAGTAAATGAAGCCTCGAATTAACCTTCGCATGTAGGATGGCCAGGTGTGCTTTCCAAGTGAGATGGCGATCAAAGGTAACTCCAAGATATTTAACTGCATTGGATAGGGTAATAGAAATTTTGTCAAGTCGGACATCGAAGACAGGTGGATATCAGCATGGACGAAACTTGTGGTGAGTCGGGCCAAAGAGAATAGCTTTGGATTTATGAGGGTGAAGGGGTAAGCCTCCAGTTTCTGTGCCAGGAAAGAAAATAGTTGAAAGCTTTCTGCAGGACTTTGTTGAGTGTGACCATTGTAGAACAAAGGGCAAGGAGAGCTGTGTCATTGGCGTATTGAAAGAGAGAAACTGGAGGCCAGGGAACTGGCATGCCAGAAACATACAGCATGTACAATAGAGGAAAAATGACGGATCCCTGTGGAACGCCAGCACATATGGATAATGGACGAGAATGAATACCATGGATGGAAATGGTAGCTCGGCGATCCCGGAGAAAGGAAAAAAATAAGTCTAATGTAGGAAGCAGGAAAAGACAGGTGTTGATGTTTATAGATCATCCCCAGGTGCCAAACAGAATAAGAGACTTTTTCTAAGTCAAATAGAACGAGGCATGAAGGCTTAGAGGTGTTGAAGTGGTTTGTAATTAAATCGGAGAGCTTGAGGAGCTGATCTGCAGTGGAGAGATGAGGGCGGAATCCTTTCTGGGTATGTGGAAGCAACTGATTGTCTGCAATGAAAGAGTGAAGACGATGAACGAGGATGCGTTCAAAAGTCTTGTTGAGGACACTGGTTAA